ATATATATATATATATATATATAATATTATTCTTACTAAGATTTTGGACACTTTTTCTTTTACCAATTAGTTTAAAATGGGGACGATTTTTTAATTTTTAAATTATCGAAAAAACTTTATAAGTTGATTATACCGAAAATTAATCTAGATTTTCTTTTGTCTAAATTAGTTCTTAAAACAATCAATTTAGAATATTAATGTTAACAAGACTTTTCTACATAAAGTTGAACTACGAACCAATTTATAAAGTATTTTTTAGATTAGTTATTAGTCCAAATGATCTAAAAAGTTCAAATATATATATATGAAATTATAGAAGGTCCCCTTTAAGATCAAACAATTCCATCGAATTGAGTATGATTGTATGTGTGATAGCATCTACTATACCAGGAATATCAATGAACCCTATTATTGAAATTGCTCAGGATACCCTTTTTTAGCTTCTAGAATCGATTTCTTAGTTCAACTCTTATCTTACTAACTGGAATCAAAGAATTAGTAGATCTGTTCCGCCCAAAATGGGAATGGGCTAGGGTTATGAACTTATAATCTAAAATCCGATGATCGAGTCGATTCCATGATTATAAGTTCATTCCATACCGGAGCCGACCGGAATAGGGTTATATATTCTCATTATGAGAGAAGGGGGTCATTCGAGCGTATCTAAATAGATACTATGTTTACATATAGATCCCTACGTTGTTCCATTCCATTTAGGATTAGGAATAGGCGTAATCGGACATGTTTTTTACATATCTCTCATTATTTAGGATCCTATTAAATTCGCCTCTTTGAACTTCTATTGAATATATATATATATATATATATATATATATAAATCTCATATGCCTACTTGCTGTTTTTCCTCCGATTATCAAACCCTCAACCCATTCTCAACGAATTAAAAATGCCTCATGGACAAAAGATTCAAAAGAACATTCAAGAGGTTTTGAGGACATTGATACTTCCTTTCATTTACGTACATCTTCCTTCTTTGCTTCTTGTTTATACATCTTCATTTTCCGGAAAGCTCTTCATGTTCTCTTTTGTTTTGGCAAAACCTTAAGTCTCATTTGTTCTAATAGTTTTTTTCTCAGTAGCGTTTCATCTATCTTTGATTATAATCTGTTCTCTCAATTGTTATTGATGAACTCCAGTTTTTTTATTTATATTTTAACATAACAATGGTACTTTGTATAAGCTGTGTATTTTTGTTTTAAAGATCAAAATAAAATAATATAAATAATTTAAGGTCCCTCATAACTTATGATAAAGATATTAAAGTGAATCAATCTAATTTCAATTAACTCATTAAAAATTATGATTTTTAAAAACTCAACTTAACCTAATTTACTTTATAATAAGTTAAAAAAAATCTCAACTCGACTTAACCTAATTTTCATTTCATATTTTCACTGATTCATTTCCCTATCTTTCTTCATATCCACATTTTGTTTTATATATATTTTTTCTTTTCCTTTTATCTCTCTCTGCCTTCCATACATCCACAATAAAAACATTATCGAAAAGAAAAAGACGATGATGTAATGTAATGCTTAATTTGTCCTTTATCTTCAATAAAAACGGGGACTTTCCCCAATCTTCCCCAAGAGAAAAAGAAACAGCAAAAAACGGTATCCAAGTTCCGAACTGCATCAACCTAACTTTGGGAACGGGAAGCAGAAACATCTTCGCTTCGGTTCATTCACATGATTTGTTCTTCCTCGGACTCTTCGAACATCATCCAACTTGTCAATGGGAATCAATTCTCAAGCACTCCCCTCTTGCCGTATGCCCATTACGCTGAACGACTCTCGCAGCGGAGCCCCTCAACAGCCCAACAAGGTCTTCAGTTTTTTACTTTTCATCGCTTCCTTAATCTTATCATTATTTTGTTTAAAAAACATACTATTAGTTGCCAAGATTTAGCACAAGCCCTTGTGTTTGATTACATTTCATCATGACTTCCCTTCTTCTCTCATATGCGTGTTTAGGAGAATGCTATTACTTGGGACCAAATTGTAACGACACTTATTCCAATTACTCTTTCAAGTTTCAATTTTTAAAATTTTTCTGAGATTAATTTTCATATACTATCAGTTTTAAAATCTTTACACCGTCGACCAACTAAAAATCACCATGGATAAATCAATAATTTTCAATTGAGAAATCTCAGTGATACATTTTTTAACATATGAACACTCTCTTTATCATTGGCTGAATTAGGAGTATCATTTTTTATTGAATGAGTTCAACTTATGATTTTGTAGTTTGATAAATTTTAACCAATAATAGAAAGTGTGTTAGAAAAAGTGTGTTGTTATCATTCTCTCTTTTCCATTATATGGCAATCAATAATTTCGATGAGAGACTTGTATTTCAATTAAATTCTATTTATATTTGGGTTTGTGCTTTGAACAGATTATCTGGTGGCGGAATGGGAAGAGAGTTCTCGGTGGAATGGACAGCAATGTAGATTGCTCTTCACTGGCTCAAAACTCTAGTAGGAAAAAAATGTTTCATGATATGAAAGTTGATGGTTATATGCCAAAACAGACCACTTTGTGTGTTTTAATGCTATATTACACAGAGAATGGCCTCTTTCCTCAGGCACAGCCTATATGGGAGCAGCTCCTAAATAGTTCCTTTGTGCCTTCTGTTCAATTCATTTCAAAATTATTTGATGCTTATGCAAAATATGGGAAATTCAAGGAAGTGATCAATTTCCTACGTTATGTGGATATGAGGAATTTCAGTATATTACCTGATGTTTATGCATTGGCTATCTTTTGTTTTGGAAGAGAAGGACAGCTTGAGTTGATGGAAGATATGGCAAAGGAAATGGCTTCAAGAGGTTTCCATGTCTGTTCTAGGACTGCTAATGCTTTCCTTATGTATTGTAGTATTTTTGGTTCTTTGAAAGAGATGGAGAATGCGTATGGCCGCCTTAAGAAATCTAAATTTCTGTTAAAGGAGGAAGCAATTCGGGCCATGGCCTCTGCATATATAAAGGAGAGAAAATTCTATGAATTGGGTGAATTTCTTAGAGATGTGGGTCTAGGTAGGAAAAATGTAGGAAGCCTTTTATGGAACCTTATGTTACTTTCTTATGCTGCCAATTTCAAAATGAAAAGCTTGCAGAGAGAATTTATTAAAATGGTGGAATCTGGGTTCCGTCCTGATATTACGACCTTTAATATCCGCGCTCTAGCCTTCTCAAGGATGGCTTTGTTCTGGGACCTCCACCTTAGCATTGAACATATGGAACATGAAAATGTCATTCCTGATCTAGTTACTTTTGGGTGTGTAGTTGATGCATACTTGGATAGAAGGCTTGGGAGGAACTTGGACTTTGCTCTGAACAAAATGAACTTGGATGATTCTCCACAATTGTTGACAGATCCGTTTGTATATGAGGCCTTAGGTAAAGGGGACTTTCAAATGAGTTCTGAAGCATTTTTTGAGTTCAAGACACAAAGGCAATGGACTTACCGTGTTTTGATACAAAAGTATCTCAAGAAACATTATCGAAGGAACCAGATATTTTGGAACTACTAACTAATTGCGAGATATTTAGGTCCAATTCAAGTTCTAGCCAGGTAGTTAACTGGAATGCTCTTACTGAGTTGTGTCTCTAGCAAAACAAAGAGCTAACTGTATTTCTTTGTTTTTCTTTTCAAAGGATTTGAATCTTACATGTACAGCTTCGTTACACACAGACCTTCACTATGTGGTTAACTGAAACAAACTTTTACTTATGGTGGATGCACTTGACCTTGAGGGTTAAGTGTCAAGGTGGAAACACCCTAAACATTGGGTTAAAAAGCACAGTATGATGCATATTTGAGGTTGAATGGAACATCAGATGCATCCTATCTTGAAGAAAGCTTGGAGGAACAGAAAGTTGGTAAGAAATGTTCACCGTTTAACAATTTGTACATTTTCAATTTGAGCAGTTCTTATCAATACAAGCTTGCTTAGTTTCCCCATGAATTTGTCCAGGCATTCATATTTTCTTTCTTAATAGATTCTGTATTTCACATCGTATTGTTGATTGATATATAATCTGATAGTTCCATTAGGGTTGCCAGTATCTTGTTATGGTGACCTTGAACGTTAAATTGTTCAAATAAATTTAGTGGGAACAGAATCAACATAGATTTTACCGATCTGTCTTTACCTATTGAATTTTGAATCTGGTATTTGTAAGTTTTGCATGTTTTTCTTTAAGATCAATCATGGAAGTTGAAATGGAGGGTTGAGAAAATTATGGTTGGGATATTTTCAGTATATATATGCTTTCAGTTATAGATTAAGTGCTACTGCTACCACACTTTAAACTAAAGGATTGTATTTTTCAGTTGTCTGCCCCTCCCCTTTTGGTTCATAAGGTAAGCCCTTGTTATATGCAGTTATTTACGAAGAAATCATATTTAAATATGCATGTCTGCATTTTGTTTTTTTCTTGCAGTGTTCCCTCATTTTGAAGGGATTTAATTTTAAGTTCCAATCAACCGTTGAAATTTTTGGCTTTTGAAGCCTATGGATATGGTTGTTGCATTTCCTTTCTTTGATTTTTGTTCTTTCTTGTCACACCATTTAATGATCACACAATTGATACACCGATTGAACCATATACACTACTGCCAGTGAGATTTGACTACTTGCCACTTCTGAGTTTAAGTGGTTTGACCAGATTGATAGATGGTTTGGTTAGTGGTTATTTATCAGAATCTTACAAGAGTTGTTGTCATAGTAGCAAGGGTCACAGCAATCTGCCTTTTTGAGTATCAAATTGGACCACTGCAGATATAAAGTTATCTGCTGACTCTACTTAAATTGTTTAATTTTTGTGTTTGGCTAGAAAGCAATTTACTCTCATCACACTTAATTCCTACCAATTTTGCCGTGTATACTGTATATACAGCTAGCTAAATGTATTCTTTGGTCCCAATTTCATTTTCTTCTTTTGCAATAGGGGCTCTTGACATTGAAGCCCTTGTTTCCTGGGACAAGTGATGTAGATTGTAGACCAGCTCAGCAGAATTATCAGTGTTTTGGAGAACCTCAATGAGGGAGCTTGGCTTGGTTATTCCAAATCCAACCTACCTGATTATGGAACAATTTCATTTGGTAATGTGGAAAATCCTACTATTTTTTTTAGTTATTCAGTTAAACCAATGATTAGTTAACCACCATCTTATTTGGGAAATACCATCTTTTTCTTAACAAAATCTGCATCATTTGATCCAATAACTTATCGTTAGATAGCAACAAATATGATAAATATTGATAACTCATAGAGTATTAGAACCGAAAAATATTATGGATTATTGGTTATAAGCCATCTCTGGTAATGCATGTTCAATTGCTCCCCTAGTGAAGTCTCCGTAGTGCAAAGACTGGTTTGTTTTGGTCTAGCTAAGAGAGCCACAGCAATGGAGTTAGTTCAGGACAAGTACTTCAGTGAAGAACCTCTTCCTTTTCCAATCTCAAGTAGTACATGATGTCTACCAAGCTTCAATCAGGTTTCATTTCATGATAATGTAGATAAAATACTTGTATAACAAGCTGATTTACGTAATGCAGAAGCCATTCTTGTATAGTCTTTAAACCTGTTTAGCTTTCTTATTGGTTTGCTTACTTTATTATTTTAATAGACGTGGGAGGGTAAACAAAATAGCAATATATTTGCTTCAAAATGTCATAATCAAGAAAGTATTCAATTTCTGAATGTGGGAGGTAAAGAAAAATGGCAATAAGAAATGGATTCGGGTTAAAGTTTAGTCCTCTTTTTCTCTTTTTCAACTTTTTTAATATGAAATATTTATAGTGCATAACCTTTTGTTGTTGTTGTTGTTGTATTTTATTACGACCATCTATTATCTCTTATTACTAGGCTTGAGACATTTGTAAAAAATTAATATTTCAAACATTTTTATTATTAACATTATAATTTTATATTAGTAAAGGCTCACTTATATTAGTAAAATTAATTATCAATAATGTTAAGATTCTTTTTCACGTTAAATAAGGTAAAAAAAATCAATTATTTTATTTAAGTTATAAAATTTATAAAAGTAAGACAGTTATTTTATTTTGAATAAAATATTTTATAAATAGAAGAAATTTAATTGTTTTATTCATATATAAAATTTGTAAAAAAGGATTTTCATTATTTTATCAAAATAAAACGTGTTAGAAATAAAAGAAATTTAATTGCTTTACCAAGACACAATAATTTAAAATGGACAAATTTAATTTCTTTATATAAACAAAAAAAAAAGTGTATAGGTTGTAAAAGAATGTGAAAATCGATTTTTTTTTTTAGTTCATGAGAATCAAACTTGATATATAAACTCACTCACTGCATCTAATTAATTGAACTAGACTCATTGGTGTGAAAATTCAAAATATGCATGACAATAACTCAAAATCTATTTAACAAAAATCCCTTTTTATAAAACATACATTTTGAACAAAGATGATACAGTATCTTGTTATTCTGATATTATGATTTAAAAATAAATATGAATAACATTCTATTTTAATTTTGAAATAATAAAATTTATGCTGGAATAAAAATATAAGGAATTAAATAGGCAATTATTTTTTCTAAATAAGTTACAATACTTGTTAAATTTGTTAATAATTTGAACATTATTAATTTATTATTATCATTAATAAATTTTAAATGATTCATAATATAGGAAGAAGAAAATACATTCATAAAGAACATTGAGCATTTTTTTCGTACAAATATAATCATTTTTTTATGGTGTGGATTCTTTTTCATTCGGACCGTAAGTATACTTTACGAGTTTATTAATATAGTTTAAACAATTCTGTGTTAGTTAATCCAACTAGTAATTGATGATTGTGGTCAAGAATTTTATAATATTGAAATATCTTGTGAAAATTACTTTAAAAAAAACTTATAATGTAAATTTATGAGCCAAGAATAAAATCTAATAATAGTTATTACTAGGCCAGTTCTTATAACAAATTACCAAATTAAGATTTAGATTTTATTTGAAGAGATAATTTAGTGTTAAAATATATTTAAAAAATAATTGTGCAATAAAGTTAAAAAATTGATACAAACTAATAAATATGTAATGAATACTATATCTTCTTACATTTTTTTTAACAATTTTATGAAAAAGTATTAAATGAAAAATGTAAATATATTTAATGTTTTTTTTGTAAAGATAGGAAAGATTACAAAGATGGTTGCAATGAGAATTGAACCTAGGTCCTCATGCTTCTAACTATCTCAACCTCTCCCCACCCAACCACTAGGCTAACCCTAGTGGTCAAATATATTTAATGTTAAAAAATGGTATATATAAAATTAAAATAAAATATATTATAAAATTGAAAGATAAAATGACTTTTTTTTAATAACCTATTTTCTTAGGTTAGTTGAGAAATTGATTACTAGATAATTGATTTCTCAAGGCTTTAAATTTTTTTTTTCAAAGCTTAGTGATAAATTGGTTACTTAATAATTGATTTCTCAATTGAGTTGTTTTTTTTTCTCATTTTTTTATATTTTATGGTGGAGAGGTAGAGACTTGAAACAAATACTTTTCACCTCCTAGTTGGTGAGTGCATGATCACTTTGAAAGATGGGGTGCTACAGTTGGATTCGAGGATCGACAACAAATCAGTCACTGGACCAACTTTCTTTGACTAAGAATAATTGTGTTATGAGTTGTTAGGCTTCATACCTCTAAAAAGGGAAGCTCTGATTGACTCAATCATAAAACTAAAATGGTTAAAAGATCAGACAATTGCACTACTGGATGAACCCACTGAACAACAATTGCACCAACATTGTAGGACATATATTTTAGGATTAATTGGTGGTGTAATTATGCCAGACAAGCTAGGTAACAAACTTTACTTAATGTATTTACCATTGTTGGCTGACTTGGAATATGTAGGACGATATAGTTGGGATTTTGTTTGTTTGGCACATTTGTATAGAGAAATGTGTAGGCAATTTAACTTATATATCACTTTAATACATCGAACAACTACATTCTACCTAATTTTAATTAATGTACAATTTTTTTAGATGGTCACGAAGAAGACTAAGATTTACAGACACGCCTCATGGAGATTTACTTGGCTATAGATTAAGATATGACAACATGAATTATAATGAGGTAATACAATGTCAACTTCTCTCAAACATACTCTCTTTTATTCAATTAATTTATATCCTAAACATTTTTCTTTTTCAGTTTCTGTGGATGCCATACAGGGGATTTGAGTCCTCGTTGCCAACATGCTTATAAGGATTCCAAAATATAGACTTCTTGTACTGTTTTAACTTCATTTGAGTCCTCGTTGCCAACAAGGAACTGATAACCTCCAAGGTGTGGAACTGATAGGCATAGACATCATTAAATTAATTTAATGTTATGTAATTTGGTGGATTGTGATTGCGTTGTTGTTCTTGTTTATTCGATCGCATATTCTGTTGGGATAAATATTTCAAAAATGTTCATCTCAATGAAAGTATTATTTGATTTCGTATGTCTCAAATTAAAGGAAAATAAAAAATAAATTAAATTTTACATATTTATAATTTTAACAATTAAAATATTAAATTTTCTATATTTTTAAAATATAATTTCATTATTAAAAATATATTATTTTTTATATTTTATTTGTGAATTTTAAATTAAATTATCTCTATTTTGTAAATAATTTTTTTTAATAAAATAAATAAGTTTTAACATTATCTTTATTTTTAACATAAATTTAAAAATATTATACATAATTTTTAAATTTTATATATAATATAATATTATTTAACTTTAAAATTAATTTTCAATTTCTGAAAACCAAAATAAATTAAATGAATTTTTTAATTAAAAAATCTAAAAACAAAAGATAAAATGAAAAAAAAAGGACTCAATGAGAAATTAATTACCTAGTAATCTATTTCTCAATGAGGTTTTAAAAAAAATTAAAAGCCACATTGAGAAATTATAATCGATTTCTCAACTTGGTCTAAATTTAGGTAATTAAAAAAGAGCATAGTATATTTACAAAAATAAAAAAAGGATATGTTAAAAAAAGTGAGATAAAACTCATGAATTTACTGGTTAAAAAAGATTATAATTTTATTAATGGAAAAAAAAAATATTTTGGCGGAGGAAGGCAAAGAAGAAAGAGAAATATTTTATTTTATTTTATATATTTATTTTGGCGCCTCATTCAATTTTGAAGCTTCTCTCGGAAGCTTTGTCTCTTCCACTTAGTAGTGTTCTGTGCGCTCGCTGCTATTCACATCTCTATGCGTTCCTTTTCATTTCTTCCGCCTCAACGCTTCTCTTCTCCGTCGCCGTCGCCGTCGCCGGAATCTCCATTTTCCGATGAGAAAATCCACCAGACTCTCCGCCATCGGCCTCGCCCAAGCTCCAGAACCGGTAAGACAAGCCAAATTCCACGTTCAATCTCAATTTCAATTTGAATTTAGAGGTCACAGACTCACTTTTTCTTTTGTTTTCGCGCTTTCAGGTGAAGCCTTTCAGCACTCGATTTTCCCTGCGGGCGTACGCGAAGCGCGTGCAACAGCTCACACCGGAGCAGAGATCCGCGATTTCGCGAACCGGCTTCGGGAACCTTCTGTCGGTTCCGAACCACACGCTGAACAAGGTGTTCCTGACGGAGCTGATGGACGCGTGGAGCTGCGACCGCCGCGCGTTCGCGCTCCGCTCCGGCGGCGAAATCGGGATGACGCCGTTGGACGTGGCTCTGATCCTGGGACTTCCGGTTGCCGGTAACCCCGTGAATTTGTCGGAGGACGAACCGTTATCCGATTTGGAAGAGTTGTATGGCGCCACGAAAGCGAAGAGGAAGGTGGCCATGGCTTTTCTGGAGAATCGGCTCGAGTTGATTGGTGATGTTGCGAGCGATGATTTCGTTAGGAGCTTTCTGCTCTATACAATTGGGACGTTTCTCTCTTCAAACGATGGGAAGGTGGATTCGCGGTTTTTGCGGTTTCTGGAGGATTTGGGGGAGGTTTCGGGATTTGCTTGGGGTGGTGTTGTGGTTGATGATTTGTGTTACTGGTTGGATAAGAGGAAGGAGCATAATGTGCAGTATGTGGGTGGTTGTCTTATTTTTCTCCAGGTAGGTTTGTTTTGTTTCACCATGTCATACTTTGATGTGAAGAGTGTTCATGGTCTTTTGTAAATTTTGGTGCTTGCCATAAAATGTGGTATATTTTTATGGATAAGCAAATTGGCTTTTCAAAATTTCAATTAATAATCGATGTTTAATAAAATAAAGGTTCTGCAACAGTAATTGCGGCCGCAGCGACAAAGTTTTGGGAGTTTGCAATTGCGGCTGTATGAGTCACATTTGTCGGTAATTTTCTGCAATATCAATAATTATAAGGAAGCCATAATTGCAATTTTAATTTAAAACCTTGTTAATATTTGTGTTTTAAATAATGATTTGTGAATGTTACTCTTCTGATCATATATATGAGAGGGTGTGGCTGGTTTTTAATTTTGAACTTATTGAGTAAATTGATATTTTGGTCGTTTATAAAGATTGTGCTTATTTTGCAAATTTGACTCATGAAAGAAGGGAGTGTAGTCCTCCAAGTATTTAGTTGATATCAAGTTAGTCCATAAAATGTCTTAACTGGATTACAGTTGAAGGTTAATGTAAACAATTTAATGTAAATAAATTCTCAAAGACTCGGTTGATTTGATATTGCAGGGTTTTTTTGGCTCTTGTTCTTTTCATATTTTGATTGATTATAAAAGCTATATGCGTTGTCATGTTTTGGAAGTAAAATGTATGGGTCTTGGACGCAATTTATTTTTTGCTTAGAAGACCGTGAGTGTATTAGTTTTTGGATGGGTAAGATGTGTTGGAGACTCGGAGCAATGCTTGCAAAGTGTCATGTGTAAATGCTTATTTGATAGACTAATTATTTTTTTTTTGTCTATGGCGAGCAGACATGGTCCTATGAACATTTTGACGTAGCAGCGCGGCCACAATTGCAAGATCATGATTTGACCTTTCCTCGCGTGTGTAGATGGGATAGTAGTAAATCTAACCAAAGGCAACGGGGTACTCCATGGTTTAAAGACCTGGATGATGATCAGGTAACTTGGAAAGTTGCTAAGAAATCTGTTGAATGTTGAGTTTATAGTCACTGACTCCTCATATAACATGGAAGGTGGAGAAAACATGCCTGTCTTGACGTACTGCCATTTTTGTGCTATATTCAGTCCTTATTTGATGATTGAAGTAGTAAAGCCCTCTTCTTCTCCTGACCTTAGGCTTTAGCATGAATCTGCAGATAATGAATTTGGTGTTTGAATTGATGACAGCTGCCTTGGTTTTTATTTGTCACATTGAAGTCCCAATCAAAAAATGGGGAAAGGAAAAGTGGGTTATAATTCCTTTTGTCTATATCTATTTATGTGCAGGTCATCTGGAAACTCGAACCAACTTCTGAAGAGTTACAAATAGAGGTAATCAAAGAAGCACTGGGGTTGCTAGGTGACAACAAAGAACTTCAAAGTGTAGAAAGCAGTTTGACAAGCACACCCTCTAGCGTGAGTTACTAAGTTATTTATTTATTTTTTATTTCCGGTACATATGAATTTGGATTGGGGTTCTTGCGGTTGGAATTTTCAAATGAAGACAATTCTCACCATAAATAATGATTTATTTGCATTAAATAATGAAACAAAATGTAACTTCAAAATTTTTTGGACCCTTTCATTTTAAGTTTTAACTGCGGGAGCTTGCAGTTTCTGTTTGAACTGCAGGTGATCTTGCTCCTAAAAGTTTAGGGTGAGGACTTGCTCCATTCTAAGGTTAATGCAAGCCAATAGCCATAGCAAACTTGAGAGTCAAGGCGTTTGGGTTGATGTAGGACTTATCTTTTGAACTAAGCCTTATTTGACACAAGTATAATGTAGGACTGTTGGTAATCAATTCTTCAGGTCATCAATTAGGATGTATAAATTATTAATTTATTAAGATGGTTACTAGTTTGAAGTTTAAATATTGATCAATCTTCTAAAGTTTTATTTCTTCTATTTCCATGCTCGTGTAGGAATGTAGTTGTTCATTCTCTCTGTTGATTTAGAATTTGACACTGGCAGGTTCATGATGAAGATTCAAGGTTACAGCTTAGTATCAACAATGAAGTACATAGAGTGGACAATGATGGTTTGGAGAATCAGGTAGTGGAGGACACTCCCGAAAGGTCGAGCTTTTGTGATGAAGAATTCAGAGAGCAGGTCAATCCCAAAAACCTGATAGTGTTAGACACTACTCCGAATTTAACCATCTGTGGCAGAGAAAGGTCGAGCTTTTGTGATGAAGAATTCAGAGAGCAGGTCAATCCCAAAAACCTGATAGTGTTAGACACTACTCCGAATTTAACCATCTGTGGCAGAGAAAGGTCGAGCTTTTGTGATGAAGAATTCAGAGAGCAGGTCAATCCCAAAAACCTGATAGTGTTAGACACTCCTCCGAATTTAACCATCTGTGGCAGAGTAAGTAGGGTGCAAGAAATGAATCTTGAAAACCCGGTAGTCGTAGTTGAGGAAACCCCCACAGTTAATGGTATTGCTGACGAAGTAGGCGGAGATCAAGAGTTCACCAGCGAAAAACTCATGGAGGATACACTCCCAAAGTCGAGCTTTTCTGAAGTGAGAATCCCTTCCATTAGTGTACTTCATTCCTTGGGATCTTGTCATAGATTATGAATCTTTAGTTTTTCTTTTCCGCATTAAGTCATCACTCATCACATACAAAATTAACTTATTTGATTAGCAGGACGATTTGAGAAAGGAAAACGGCATGTTAGAAGAGGAAAACTCTGAATTGAAAATGAAAATAGGCCAAGTAATGGAGGAAAATGAACTTCTCCGTAGGCAGGTTTTATCAAATACCCAATTCGAAGAGCAGAACGCTGAGTTGAAGAAAGAGCTGGACTTGTTGAGAGAAGAAATCAGAAATTTAAGACTGTCAACAGATAGTTATGCGGAGTTTGCGGACAGAGTGCATAGAAATATATTGGATCTAGGGCTGTGATACACGAACGACCCCTAACATCAGACCTTGCTGTAGCCACAACATTGATCAATCTAAGTTCTTCCACAAAGTATAGATAGAATTTTGGGTAACAAAGTGTGTATGTATATATTGTTGAGGTAAACAAGCTCGATTCATTCTAATTTATCTGTGGGTAGTGTTAGGAGGTTTCTTTTTAAGTGAAACCATTAAACTCATGCCAGCTAAACAGAACTATTTATTTTTCTTTTTTGTTGTATATTATGTAGCAGATTGCAAATGTATTTCTCCAAACATAAGATGTTAGCGTTCAAATGGTATATAATTATCCTTTTCTTTTCATGATTATTATAACAACGAGCCACTGTAAACTTTGCTTAGTACAATCGTTCTTTTTGATGAGTAAGTTCATCTATTACTACTAGTCTACTACTAGCTCTTTCTGGCTCTAGGCTTCGCTTGAACAGGAAGAATTCAGCGGTGGATCTGATTTTCAAAATTACGGAAATTTGTATTCATGGAGGTGATATTTCTGCGCTAACCAATTCGGACATAGATTTTGTCCGATGTGAAGTCGACTAAAAATTGCGAGATGCTATATTTGATGAAAACTTAAATCTATTTTTATTCTTAGTCTTTCAAAAACTTTTATTACCAATTTGGCCTCCTTTTAAGATTAAGCAATGATAATTCATTATTAACAATAAAGAAATAATTTTATAATTATGATTTATGTCATCATATTTTTAATTGTTGAAAAATGTTAAAAATGATTTTGTTGATTTTAATTTAGATAAAATTTAGGCACAATTCTTGAGTTACTGCATGTAAGTTTTGTCCTTTTAATTTTGGTTTTTATTTTGAAAATGAATTCATAGAAAAACAAAAATTAAACCTAAACTAGTGTAAACTTCAAGAACCCTAAAATAAGTGAGAAGAGCTTAACTTACTGCAAGGTAAGGAAAAGAGATGTTGACCTCACCGCTAGTACAATTTATGTTTAGTTTTGAAACATCCCTTTTGATCCAAAGTTTTCCTTAAAATATTATTTATATATGTTTATTTTTGAAATCTCCTTTTCACCGATTTCATTTTAGGTGGAGAAATTATCAAAGGAACATACGCGTACAATCATTACTAATCATGTCTAATAAAGCTATCAACCTATATTCCCATAATAAACTGCGCATATCATTAATAAGTGACAACAACAGCTTAAACATCCATTTCTTCCAATAACTCCCTATTTAATTTCTACTAATGCCATCGGCTACAATAAGCGTACACAAACAACACCACAAACTCAGTTACACACTATAATCCATAGACATACAAGAGCACAAGTACAAGCCTCACATCCATTTCTTCCAATTACTACTCCATATTTAATTTCTAGCCATTCCCTTGTCATGTCACCTGGCCTCTTATTCTAACACTACTAGCATAAAACATCATTCATCACCCTCTCACTGCACCCTGCATAATATAAAAAAAAAGACTCATCAGATACAATGAAAAGATGCAGATTAAAAATAATAATTAGTTAAATTATTATTCACAACTTTCTCTATGTCTTCCTTTTAAATTTTAGTCCATACACAAGAAAATTGTAAATTTTAATCTTTACGCATACACACAATTTTTATTTCCTGGTGGTAACACCCGAAAGAACTTTCAAGCTTGTAAAACTGCTAAAAACAGAATGTAATGAGAGTCATAAACCCCAAAATATTTATGCAAACTAAAAGTTATAGTTTTAAGAGAGTAAGTCTAACTGTATCCTCCACTTTATTCATATCACTGATGAATATAAAATTTTCGACATACAATTATTTTTATAAGAAAAAAACTTAAAATGGAGGAAACAAATGAATAGTTTATCATAAACAACCTATTTGGATGTGAATTAATTAAAAACACTTTTAAGAGCTTTTTTATTAAAAATAAAGAATGTTTTTATATAAATAAACTCTTAAAAATACTTCTAAATTTATATCCATAAGATTCATTGTAATATTACAAGTACCTGCTACAATCTGTGTTGGGGCTGATCTGGTAAGGGATGTTAACCCCACATTTCTTGGGAAGGCCAGCAGCAAGGTTGAGGTTAAAATTTGAGTAGGTAAAACCACTGTTCCTAACACTACCCTTTATGCAGTTGCAAACGGCTTGACGATCAGGTTTGGTCTGAGCCAAGCTATAGAGGTTCTTGATCCCATTGCAGCACTGAGAAGGAACAGTGGCTCCACCATAAACCACATAGGAAATGCATGGTGTCAAGTTATTCACAACTTGACCACATGTCACATCTCCTTGTGCCTTGGGAACTATGGTTGCACCAAGTGCAAGCCACACAATGGCCAAGCAAACAACCCTAGTTAGCACCAAGCTAGCCATGACTCACTCAACTCAACTACTCTTGCAAGAACAAGATATTATGTTAGTGGTAGAGGTACTTATGAGTTTATGGACACTACTTGTGTGTTGTTTATATAGTGAGAGAAGGGTACGGGGTAGAAGGAGTGAATGTGCTTCTGCTTATTGAGTAGTTGAGATGAATTCAGTGCCATTATGGGTTGTGGTTGAGAAAGTTAAATGCCACATTTACTATATCCGAGGCAAGAGGTGTAGGGTGAAGCATAGAGATGTCTAGATTTCATAGGAAATGAAGCAACATTTATGCATACTGAATGGCAAATCACTGTTTACATGTCAGGGAGTAAATCTTTGCACCCATTTTTCCATGCAGACTCAGGTTCATCGGTTGTACTTGTACTATAGATTTTCACAACAAAATCGGTGGTAATATATACTATTTCAATAATACTATTTTCGATAAAACATTTTCTACTATAAGTAAAAATAAGGCTAAAAATCTAATTTAATTCCTTATTATAATTATTTGTTTAAATTTAATCTCACTTTAATTTTTTATCTTAATTTGGTTTCTAATAAATTAAATTATTGCAATGTCGGACTTCCGTCCAAATAATTTAAACAGAGTTAACTGTTAGTCACGTGGATGCCATATAGATGCATAGATGAATGTCAAATTTTTTTTAATGCATCTAGAACCAGACGGCCCGTTCTGAAATCAGAACGACCCGTTCTGGTTGTACTCTTGGAGTGTTAATTTTGCACCTGGAACGGGTCGTTCCAGGTCCAAAATTAACACACAAAAAGTGCAACCAGAACGGGCCGTTCTGGTTCAGAATACCAAACACAAACGATCGATGATTATAGTTCACGGTTGTGAATCGTGCAAGAAAAAAGACCCAAGGTACAAAATATTTCAAACACTGAATTTGGTAATATTGTCAATGGGGATTGATAACTTCAATTGTTAAACATTTGGGCTATACAATGTATCATTAAGGACAATGTAGTGTATCACTAAGGACAATGATAACAAGTTTTATTTCATTGTTAGTCAAACTGGAGTGAACCACTTACTACCAAATTGACACTATACAGTCAGGGATGAAACGACATGGTGTTTCCGCTTGAAGTCATTGATCGATGCACCCCAACAATAACAACAACCTGTTCTTGAGGAGGTACAACCTAAAGTAAAGGAAGAGGATATACAGGACAAACATTTCACCACACAACCACATGTGTGACACCCTCTACCCCAACATATATATATATAATAATAAAAAGAAATATCTTATTGGATAAAAAAAATATTTAAAATTGAAACGACAATTCCAATAATCATGTGAGTAAAGAATTCACATTCATGTCCTTAATCCAAATAGAAAATAAAATTACAAAGAATAAAAATTGAATTTTCCAAAATATATACTTTAATAAATCATAAACAATGTCGTATTCTAATTCTATCTATGTCCCGATGTCACATGTCTTCCAATAATCATGTGAGTAAAGAATTCACATTCATGTCCTTAATCCAAATAGAAAATAAAATTACAAAGAATAAAAATTGAATTTTCCAAAATATATACTTTAATAAATCATAAACAATGTCGTATTCTAATTCTATCTATGTCTCGATGTCCCATGTCCTATCAAAACAAAATCCCACATAGAAGCCTAAGCTCCATCGTCCACATCCTCAGCCTCATGCTGCTAATGGTCTCCTGTATATCAAACAAGAGAAACAACACAAAAGAAGGGAGTGAGAAACATCTCACTCTGATTCACGATGTAGGAACGCACACCGGATAGCCAAACACAAATAATACAGTTAGCTCATAGATCAATCAACAACAATGGCTTATCTAATCATCCAAGTCATACAAATAGTAATTTATCATTGAGACTTTGTATGGCAAGAGGTGTAGGACTCCTTTGTATTAGTGACAAGATGGTGATTCAATAGTTGTGTGGCCAAAGTTAGTCCTACAAAGTATTGAGAGGGTGAAGCAAATTCAAGAGAAGATGAGGAGTACCTAGAGTAGACAGAAATCATATGTTGATAAGAGGAAAAAACCTCTAGAGTTTACTAAGAGAGAACATATGTTTCTAAAGATGACACCCTCTTTTGGAGTGGGAAGGGCAATGAAGGCTAAGAAATTGATGTCAAGATTCATTGGTCCTTATAAATCTTTCGTAGTGCAGGTCTAGTGACTTATCAGTTGGCCTTTCCATCTTTCCTTTTCAACCTACACGAAATGTTTCATATCTCTCGATGGATAAAGTTCAAGTTAGTGAGAATTTGACTTATGAGAAGAGACCTATAGTTGTGGTTGATCACAAACTGAAGGAATTGAGAGGCAAGTTACGTACAATAATAGTTTTTATGTTAGCATTGGGATGACATCGTTTGAGACTTTGTATGGCAAGAGGTGTAGGACTCCTTTGTATTAGTGACAAGATGGTGATTCAATAGTTGTGTGGCCAAAGTTAGTCCTACAAAGTATTGAGAGGGTGAAGCAAATTCAAGAGAAGATGAGGAGTACCTAGAGTAGACAGAAATCATATGTTGATAAGAGGAAAAAACCTCTAGAGTTTACTAAGAGAGAACATATGTTTCTAAAGATGACACCCTCTTTTGGAGTGGGAAGGGCAATGAAGGCTAAGAAATTGATGTCAAGATTCATTGGTCCTTATAAATCTTTCGTAGTGCAGGTCTAGTGACTTATCAGTTGGCCTTTCCATCTTTCCTTTTCAACCTACACGAAATGTTTCATATCTCTCGATGGATAAAGTTCAAGTTAGTGAGAATTTGACTTATGAGAAGAGACCTATAGTTGTGGTTGATCACAAACTGAAGGAATTGAGAGGCAAGTCCATCGGCTTGGTGAAGATTCTATGAGATACAACTATTGGTGAAGCCATTTGGGAGGTTGAGGAGCAGTGTAAAAAGAAATATCCATTTTTATTATCAAGTAAGTTGATTTCCAAGGAAGAAAATTTCTGTTGTTGGGGAATATTGTAAGAGATGACTTAGAGGGGAGAAGAACTTTGAGCACCTAAACACTTATCTTTCTTCTTCCCAAATTCTTAAGGGAAGATTCATGCTTAGAGACCCTATTTTCTTCTTCCCTGAGACTTTGTAGCTGGTGGTGATTCAAAGCAATTTGGAGCTAAAAATCTCGTGGAGAGTAGGTGTGAAGGTTAGGTTGCTGGAGCTTGGAGCCCATTTCTTTCACCTTCTCTTTTTCTACCTTGAATTAGATTAGAGTTCTTCCTTGGTTTCACTTTGTTCCAAGGTAAAGGAAGTTGGAATTTTGGGCTTTGGTTGAAATGTTGGGCTGTTAAATGAATTAAGAACTTAAAGTTGGTAGAATTTATGAAATTTATAGTTGTGAGGATGGATTTGAAATGAATTGCATGTTGAAACTAAGGTTTTGATGTTCTTGATGAGAGGTTAAAATGTTAGTGATTTCTTTGAGTTGTGGTTGATGCGTGTTGCTTTTCTTATGATTTTTGAGTTGTATATGTTGTTAGAACCAAAAGATTTTGGGGTTGCATGCTTTGATTATTGCATAGGTTGAGAGGATTTGGAGATTAGTTGTTCATTTGCATGTATGAGTTTCTGGGTTTGGAATGTTGAGTGTAAGTTTTCATGCTTAGCATGAGAGTTTGGAAGTGTTGTTGGGAAGCTCAAGTTGAGTGTGAGTTTCACACTGAGCATGAGAGCTGAGATGTGCCTTTGGAAGGTTGAGGCTTAACGTGAGATTTGGCACTAAGCGTGGGGACTTAGTAAAATAAATTTATTTTCTAATTGAGTTGGTTGCTTGCTTGAATAATGAGTTGTATGTTGAAAACTTGTTGTTTAAGTTATTTTATGGTTGAATGATGATGAATAAGTTGTAGAGATGTTGTATGATAAGGAACTTTATCTATTGAATGTTGATAAGTTGTATGTTGGTTATTATGTTGTGAGTTTCTAGTTGAAAGTTGAGTCGAGTAGTATGTTGTGTAGTTGTATAGCTGTGTTGAGATTTTTATATACATAATGTTGATGTGCTGTTGAGATGTATGATGAGTAAGAAGTTGAATATAAGTAGTAATGATTAAGTTGTGAGATGTGGAGTTATATGTTGATTTCTTTGTTGTGTTAAATATGTAAAAAAAATTGTTGCTTTGTTGAGTTGTGATGATCACTTAGGACTAGAGCAAAGATTTTTGACAGTTATATATCTCATTGTGTAGATATTGTGTTGTGGTACTCCGAGAGCCTAATTTGTTGAAAATCCTTCTTGAAAAGTTAACCCTTAAAGTGAATAGATGTATTGAGTCTCCTCTAGAACTTTGTTGGTACCATCTATGGACAAGGTCAAGATACAAGTGTATGAAGCGACCACAATATATGGATCAAGTCGAGTTATACTGATTACAAGTGACCAACCAAGTAAAGTACGAAGTCGGAAACTTAGTTTCTAATTGAGTATCAAAAGGTTGTAGTATTTGGAGGATAATTTGTAGGCTAATCCCATAGGAGGCTTGGTTAAGTTAACTAATGTTGTGGTAGACCTGTACTTACCTGTTCTATCTTGACATTGATACTACACTTTATTGTTTAAATGGAGACATCAAAGAAACTGAGTTGTTGTATTGTGGATTTATATCAAATTTGTTATTGATCTAGTAAGTCCAAAAAGATCACCTTGTGTTGTCGATTCGGTAGGGTTAAACCACTTAAGCTGCTCACCCTGTGTTGCAGGATATCTTCTGTTTAAAATGTGTGACGATGCATATAGTTGCTGTGTTAAGCATATGATGTGTTGAGTTGGTTGCGTTGTTCATATGTGTTGAATTGTGATGAAATGTGTTGAAATTTAGTTGTTATGTTGATCTATGTTGTATATTATGATGTTTTGTTGTTGTGTTGTCAAAGATGAGATGATGATGTGATGTTCATGTGTTATATATATATATATATATATATATATATATATATATAAAGTGAAACCAAGGAAGAACTCTAATCTAATTCAAGGTAGAAAAAGAGAAGGTGAAAGAAATGGGCTCCAAGCTCCAGCAACCTAACCTTCACA